ACACGCCCGCGCAGCTCCATACTTCTTTACATTCCATATGAAATTAAGCACTATGGGAAGTAAGGAAGCACGGAACTAGCGCAAGGCTTTCTCTTCTCTCTTCGTTATATATAACACCATTTGCAGCTCCAGGACCTTCTTCGACTGGTTCACTTGCACTTGATTTGTAAATAATATTCGAAATGACGAAGGTTGAATTAGCGGTAGTGGTAATCGCGAACAACACGGCCTGGTGGCAGCTCGGCGAGCACTGACGGCGCGCTAGCTGCGCACGCGCAGACCAGCTCTAAAAATGGACTCAACCGGCGGAGTTCGCTTTCAAGTCGCGAGTACCATCCATTCCAAATTTGTATTTTCCCGAAATAGATCGGACGACGGGCGTCCGTCGGATCGGTTTCTCTAACGTGCACCGACCTGCAGCTTGCGGCGGCTCAGCGAGGTGCACGAGAGAGCCTCGGCTGCGGAATCGCCGAAGGCTCTTATGTAAGGAGCAATATAAACCGCGCCGCGTGACGACCGTTTCGAAAATAAACGTGCACACAGAGAGTACGAAGCCAGCGACGGGCGCCACATGTGCGCGCTCCCGTCGGCGTGCCGATCATCGCGCTGGAGGGGAGACTATTATTAGTTGTACAGCATCCACCACTGTCACCTCCCGCGGGGTAGTCGAGCTATACATAGTCCCAATCACAAGATCTGGCAATCCTTTGCGTTCACTGACCTCTGAAACATTAAAACTACATACATTCTTCTGACTCATTCTGTATTGCATTTGCATAGTAAACATAATCTCATAAAACTTATTAAATTCTCCCATAGATATTTTAGTGAAATAAAACAGATACTGCACATGAAAATATCAACACAATATGTACAAATACAACATAAGCATAGAGTCAGTTTAATACATATAAGAAACATAGGTTGAACTGTCGAACTAGTTGCAGAGGTATTGTAGCTGAGAATTTCCGCCTCTGGCCGTAAAGCTCGCCGCTGCGCCCGTACAGTCAATAAAAGAATTTTGGCAAACTTTCGTAGACAAACAAGTGGGACGTCAGCCAACTCATCTTTTGTCTACAAAAAGTAACATAGTTTTGTTAGCATTTCGATACCGGAATTCTTAAATTTTCTTATAATCAAAACAAAGGAAGTGGGTACTCACTTGATTAATTTTGTAATAAAAAAAACATTGATTCATAAATTAAAGGAAACATTAACAAATCGTCTTATATTCTTATTCGTATTCTATGGAAAATTAAAATACATTACATTTTCATTAGTAGGTATTTCTAGTATTTTAGTATATTAATTTACCACAGTTTGTTTATTGTTATATAGTTACACTTTGCATATTTGTTTTTATTTTTTATTACTTTTTAAATTTTATTAGACTGTAAGCCTGGTATTTCATAACAAATAAAAACTGTACTCTAGAGTAAAGAATTGTGAAGCTGCCCTCGGAACAAAAACGTCCAAAGAGCGCCTGTTGAATATTAATGTGACATTGTTATTGGCCACAGTTGTCCGTGCTGCCCCAATCGCACATTTCCATAACTTACTATTCGGGATCCGTGGGGAATCAGCTCACTGTCGTAGGAATATGATCATTTATATTACCTACTCTTATAAAACCATAAATTATGTATCATAGAACTGCGTGTAAATTATTCATTGCATAAAATTTTATACCAGACAAGTACATGAGAGATCAGGCTTTCATCACGTACTCCCGTGCTGTAGTTACACCAGGCACGATGATTCATAATCCGATTGTTTCACGAGTTCACGACGCATTCAGAGACACCGCTTAATGCGGCGTCAGCCGTGCATGCCACCCGCCTCCTGTCTTTGATTTACAACCACCGTATATTTTACATAAAACAAAATCTCTGTGACAAAAGTAGTTTTCATTTCGACGTTCTACCAGGTTTATAACATGTAACAATTATAACAGTAACGAATTATTATCCAAAAAATGTTGGGCACAAATTGTAACATAATTGAAAACTTTGAAAATGTAACCATTCCCTTGCTGCTTGTATGCTAATGTATACTTAATTAAGACAAAGCTAAGATGACTTTATAATGTTAGCGCTGTGAGGGTGTACTCGTAATGCAAATATGAATTACTTTTAAAGGTATCTAAGTAAAACAGTCATATAATTTAGTACTCCTATATATTACATATATAAGCGCATTACTTCGGAACTCAGTAACGTTATCTAACGAAACCCTCAAATATCATAACGCAAAGTATGACGATCATTCGAATTTATTTAAATAGACAATAGACTTTCAATGAACGCGTTACAATTTTAAAATTTAAGGAGTACCTATATCAGTGTCGTAATGGGTTTTACTGTATTTTAAAGATTACTGCCGTTTTACAGTGATATATATACTGTAATGCTTTAATTTCTTAATTTTTATATTTTATGATATTTTGAGGGGATTCAAAACTTTTTCTTAATCAACATGATGTATTAATGTAATTATTGCTGAACCTGCAACTAGATGATTATTGTTATGTTTTCTAAAATGTTAACATGCTTTTTTAAATTTAGATAATTAGATAGTTTAAACATAGACTCTGTTGTAAGCTTCTATTTCCTACTTAAAGCTAACATCTACATTAAGAAGGTAGAAAACTAAATTAGTTAATTATTTTGTTACAGTAGTTTGGCAGCTATTAGTACATAATATTAATTCTTCAAAAAAACTCATATAATTTAAAACGAAAATCAAAAGCTGTCTAAGAAACAAAAATGTTATAAAAATTTTGTGATTTTTTTTACAACTACTTATTGCATTTCTACCCTTGCCTTGGGACGATATCGACAATCCCGCACCGGTATTCAGGTCGCTCGTAAATTTCTCTAACTTACCGAATATCTGCAAACCGTCTCTGCCTATTACGTAAAAAAGCTTTGCGTTATATAAGAGAAAGTTTTACAGCTGCGAACGTAAACGATTTTGTGAAGCAGCGAAGTAAATTCACGTTATTTCCATTTGTCCCGTAATTTTACAAATCGGAACTTTACATTGAAATAACACATGAGCTAAATTGCATATAAACTCTTTTTAAAACAAAGCAAGGAACTGTGTTACGCCAATATCAGACTAAATTCTAGAGTCTTCTATAAAAATATGATTTCATATTTACATATAATAATATGCAAATCATAGTATAACCAATACATATTATAAAGATATATAGTTATATTTGATAAGAAAGTAAAATTTAGATTTATTGAAGTATCTGTGTACCCAAATTATTGTATTACCGTTTTTGCCGACTTACATGCGCACGTTACATTCGGTGACAACATAATTAAAAAGGATTCGTCACTGCAATGGCGTCACAAGTCACAAGAACTAGAAATGAGGAGTGCACCCAGGATCGTGATGGTGCATGCCAACAACGTTTACAGCAACATTATTATAATACTGATAGAGTCGCAACATTTATGTTCATATAAACTGGCGCCGTTTAATTAACCATGGATATACTTTTTTATTTGAAATTTTACATATTTTTACAAATAATCCAACAAATACCAACAATATAACACATTTATTAAAAAAAGTGTGCACCGTTAGAAGCAAAATAAATTTGTTTTTGCTTCTAACGGTGCACATGAAAAATCCATCAAATGAAGTTTAAATCAGCGGCGCCCTGCACTACGTGTACTTACCATTGTCATAGTGTACATTAAATCGAGTTGCGTACGAGCAGTCACATATTAATTCCAATTCAATCACTATTTGGAACAATACTGAGTTTTCACAAATTGTGCTATTCACAAGGAAAACCCGCATGGGGCTCAAGACTCGCGCTGATATCGTAACGACGCGTTGGCTCGGACTGTAGCGTACGCAGGAACGAACATGAGCGTGCGCCGCCGTCACCCGACTACGTTTGACCTTATTTAATTAGTTCGTTCATTTTTACTCTTTGAATGTAACCAAGCGTATTAAAATGTGTACCGACACATTTACTGTTTCCATTTACACAATTATTATGGCTAACTTCGTACAACTCTAACTCATCCTGAAATTAAAAGTAGATTACTTTAAAGTAACCCCAAATTTAGAACTTTTATTTTTAAACATTTCTCCCAGTCGCACAATTTTATCACGTGATCAACAAAATTTAGAGTAAGTTTTACTTATCTATCTCAGATTAAAGAATAGATATATAATATAATATAATCTGAGTTATCTATGTATACTTTTCTGAAAACAAGACCATTGATCCGTTTAGACTTTAGACGGTGTATTTAAATTCACTTAACAACAAATTCAACGTCCTGATCTATTTCTGACCAGAGTTCATTCACACCTTACCGGTGTCGATTTCTGCAACATTTATTTCAATATCTTTAACATTAAATCGTTGTTTCTAAGCTGAAAAAACCTTTCAAACATGATATCTCATTAAGGCATGCATCTTTTTTTATGCAACACGTATGTCGATCGTTAAAAAATCTTCTATCATTCCGTTTATAAAAATATCTTCTATTATAAATACTTTTTCCCTATCTATATTTTGTAATTTTTGTGCGAATATTAGTAAAAATAAAGCAACAAATGTGATAATAAATTTCGAAAAATCTCCACTCCAAACCAGTGCTAAATGTAGTAGGGCAACCAGGCTACTCGCAAGTACCACAATAATAGTGCAATTGCAAATTGTAATGCCAGGACTGTTAGCGCAAACACTGAGGCTACTCCGTTTTTACCGACTTCAAAAATGACGAGTTACTTAATTCGAATGTATTTTTTTTAAGTGTGTTACCTCATAAGTTTTTTGTGAACCGATTTTGATTATTCTTTTTTTATTTGATAGCTGGTGCTTCTCATCTGGTCCCATATAAATTTCATGAAAATCTGACCTGACTTCGACAACATCGATGATGTTCTCGTTTTATTTATATTGAAGTTAGACCACTTCCACACATTACCACTTGTCTCACTCCTTTCTGAACTTTATTTAGTACATGAGGTAATACCGAAAGAACGCACAGACGGAAACAGTAGAAATACCATAGCAAAAATTATATGCCAGATATCTTTTTATCCGAAAATCAATTCTTTATACGTGTTTTTTTTTTTGTTTCGTTTAAATTGAACCAACAAGTAATAAACAATAGAACCAACGAATTAGAATAACCCGTATTCTAATTCATTGGTCACTAGGTATTAGGCAATACTTTTTTATAGAAACATTTTGTTTTCTTCCTCCACAATATATATATATATATATATATATATATATATATATTGACTCATGTTACAACATAACTAGATTTTTTTCGAAATCGGTGGAGGCAATAACACAAAGGCCCGAAAATTAATCATAAGCTACAAATTTTGTCTTCGGCTTGAAGCACAGGATTGGCAGGATTCATGGCTCAGTACGTCGTTACGCTCACACTGTTACAACCGGCCATTGTCTGCGAGATCATCGCTCATAGTTTTCTAAATAACTTGTTATGATGCGAATAAGAAAGTCATCCATTGCATTTCACCCTTTTTGCTCGATTTATATAATGACGCATTTCGTCATAGCGTGACGCGTTCTGTTGACGAAATGAAAATGATTTTGTGGAAGTTTGCAATTATTATTCTTTCTGATAAATAACATCAAAATATTCATTCACTGAAAGCGTGATGACTTGTGCCAACTATCAATTAGTTTTGGTTTATTCCAATTGATTAATGGACAGACTAGAAAAGATGTATGCCAACTAGCAACAAAAGTAATTAAAACGAGCTTTTCAGTACAATATAATGGTTAGAATTTACTATTGATGTATAATGTATAGCTGGTTAAACTACATCATTAGTAGTGTTGTAGTTAAGCCGTTGAAAATGAAAAGAGGAAAATAGTAATACTTGTAAAATTAAATCTACAGAACTTTATATTATTCATTATTAACCACCGAATTGGCGATATATTGAAAATTGGCCAAATTAAGAGTACCATTAAAACAAAAAACAACTCTTTTTTATATATAATCATTCTGTTTTCCACTGTCTTCGACAGACTTCGGCAGGGTTACTCAAAACACACTCATTATAATACAAAAATAAAATAATTTTATTTTTGTAGTCTTTTCGTTAGCTTTAAGTGCAACAATAATTTATTTTAAGACATCAGCAAAATTGGATTGAAAAAGTTATTAATAAATCTCAGCAGGAGGTTTCAAGATTTAAACTGCACATGTGGGGGTGTGTTAAAAGTTCGATTGCTTGTTGAAACCGAGCTTTAACTTAATTCAAGATTTTTGTTATTTTATTTCCACAATAAATTTAGGCGATCTTTTATTAACATTTCTACATATAAATTTACAAAAAAAACTAGGTTTTAACGCTGTTATTCAATGAAATTATTGTATTAAGAGTATTGGTTTAAATTATCAAAGTTTGCTCTATGACAATGAAGCTGTTGCCTTACTTTTTTACCTGGAGATTTAAATATATTTTTTATCAAGGATGACGAGTGAACACACGGTCTACACTACACCTATACTCGATTCAAAATCAAAATGTAGAGGCGTTGTTGCATAAAGGGCCTCCGGTTCTCTACACTCACCATACCAAACACAGCGGCATACACACATCAAAAATAGTTTGTGATCACTAGCAAAAGATGATAATATATTTTTAAAATTTAACTTTATCAAGAAAAAGTTTAACGTTATATTTTAAATAGAAATTTAATTTTTGTTATTAAAAAATTATAAAGAGTTTTATTTTTTAATTTCAAACAGTTTAATTCAATTCTAACGTAAATTTCATCATCAACATCGTTACAGCCTTTCACAAGTCCACTACTGAACTTAGGCCGTCCCCAAGGAATGCCACAAAGCACGGTCCTGAGCCACCTGTATCCATTGACTTCCTGCATGTCTTACCAGGTTGTCACTCCATCTATTGGGGGGTCTGCCACTCGAGAACCTTTTTCCCCAACGGTTGTCGATTCTTCGAGCTATATGGCCGACCCATTGACACTTCACCTTACTAATCCGTTGGGCTATGTCGGTCACTCTGGTTTTACTGCGGATATCCTCATTTCTAAGTTTATCACGCAGAGAAACCCCGAGCATAGTCCTCTCCATAGCTCGCTAAGTGACTTTGAGCGTCCTAATACGGCCAGCAGTGAAGGACCACGTCTGGTTCCATAGGTCATCACTGGCAACACGCACTGGCTGTACAATTTAATTTTCAGGTGTTGAGGTATACTTGACGAGAAGATGTGTCGTAATTTCCCGAACGCTGCCCAGCCGAGTTTAATCCGTCGAGTGACATCTCGCCCGAAGTTGAACTTACCTAGTGGGACTATTTGTCTCAGGTAAACGTACTCGTCAACTACTTCGTCCATAGTGCTCCCAACATCTACCGGCATAGGTATGACATGGGCATTAAACATGATCTTTGTTTTGTCCATGTTCATCTTAAGACCTATCCGTTGGGAGACACCATTGAGGTCATTGAGCATAGTGCTCAGCTCCTCCAGCGATTCTGCCATAAGAACTACATCGTCGGCAATTAGGTCGCCATTGATGTTAATACCGTATCATTTCCAGACCAGTAGCTTGAAAACGTCTTCCAATGCAGCGGTCCAACCTAAAGGGGATGCCCACTGTTCATAGACACTTCGGCCATTGGTGCCCACATATAAAAGCATATGGAAACGATAATATGCAATTAAAATAACGAAATGGCTAAGGAATTGGTTTAAAAAAAGTCGGGATTTTTATGATATAAAAGTTTTTATTTTCACAAATACAGTTTTTTAACGACTACTTTTACCAATTTTATCGCTTTTAACTTCTTTAACTTTTGTTTCCCGACATTTCAGGTGCTTTATAGCACCCATAGTCACGGGGGACTGAGGTGACTGCCATTCCAATGTCAGTATTGGGACACCTACCTTCCACGATACCATGATACTTTCAGCTTTTTATTATTATTTTAATAGTCCAATCTATGCAGATTGAACTTACTCTCTCTTTAAGTCTTGCAGTGGTATGCCTGGGTTTGGTTTTAATTTTATTAATTATAGTGTCCCAAGTAGGTGGTAGTACCCAACCGCCTTCTCTATTGAAATTAGGATGTTTTTAATTTCAATAGCCTCACATATCATCCTTGGTAGGAATTAAGGCTCTTTCGCGAGGATTTGTGATCTATCAAATCTGATGTATGTCTATCTGGTTGGGGTGACAACCTCGACATACGGTAGTACAGCTAGCACACGCTCAACTGCGGTCGGCTTCACTCAGTCACTGTGACGTAGATGTGGGACCCAAAGCTTGATTTTGTGCAGAACCTGCTTGATGTGCTGAAGCTCCGCGGCCAGGTGCTTGCTCTTATAGATCCCATATGCTCTCTGTAACAAATATTTGCTCACGGTAACTAACTGTGAAGGATGATGGTGAGATTCACCGCTTAAATATAAGTTTGTATGGGTCTTTTTTCTATACACAGTGTGACATATGATGTTGTTAGGATTTTGGAGAACAAAAACATCTAGGAAAGCTAAGAAATTATTTGCCTCTAATATAATATCGTAATTACTGAATGGAATTTGGCACAGAGAGTGTTAACGATGGATAAAATTCATAATAACAACATCCTGATTTAATATTTCACGGGCCATATTCATGAGCCGCTCTTATTTGTTTCTTGGCACTTGCAATAATGCTGATATGCATTCATCACTATCTCATGTTCCTATTTTCAGCAAATATACAGCAAGTGCAAAACATCCACTATGTTTACTTGACATTTTGGGAACTTTAGACAGAATTTATTGTTATTGTGCTTTTGATAAGCCTAGATAATAATGTACACTATATTCAGGCATACTGTGAATACTTTCAAAGTCTATAATATGATGGTAAATATTATCTTACAATAATGTAGAAAAATCTATAATTTGTGCTACACTAAATGTTTTAATATGATTATATATTGATTCTAAAAGTAAATACCAAGAGTTACTATTTAAATGGTAGTTACTGATTCTACATTCTGGAGGTACATAGTAATTGTATTCAAAAAAGACATACCCGCAATGTTGATGGAACTGTGAGTTGATTGGAATAGTTACAACCAGGAAAAAACATTGATTTTGTGTGAGTGGTGGTCTTACAAAATTAGGCAGCAGTATATTGTACGATGTATGATCTAAGCTTTGTTGTTCTAGGTTCAATATATTACTCACTTTAGATTGCAACGAGGACGGACTAGATGATTCAGATGGTTCCCGTTCTAAAGTTTAACGTGATGCTGCTTTATCAGTCCTTTGCCAGCAATCATGACACGCGTTGACGATGGCAACTGAAATAATATTAAATCAAAAAAATAAGACAAAGTGAACAAAATAAAATAGATTTGTTTACTTTAAACTCAAATATAGGTAAATGTTACTTAAAACTTAATGCCCTATATTTTTAATAATTAAGGACTGACTGCCTACCAGTAGTCCAAAAACAATTAAAAATCGACTTTCACATTTCTTGGTATTTGATAAAAATTGTCCATTTTGCAACTATCTGGTGTTAGCTAGCTAATCTTATGGCCATGTTATAAATAAGATATTATGTTTGTCAGATATAGCTTGTGCATATGTTAATAAATAAAACAACTTCATCATTTCATTCATTGATCACTATCAAATATCAGCACTAGAATTATTAAATTAAAACTGTTAAACACTTACTTTTAACTGTTGTCACACTATAATGTGATCGACAATCTCACTTCATATGAGTTCTTGAGAATTTATTTGAAAAATAACAAACAAAATAACACAATTGCGACTATTTAGTTGTGAATTCTCTAGTATCTTTTTATTTGTTGAATTGTGATTTCATTTTCATTCCCAATTCGCATGACATATTTCCTAGCTGTCAGATTTGATGTTGCCACATAACTAACATAAATACACAGATTAATCTGTGCATAAATACAATGAAACGATATCGATTTTTATTCGATTAGTAATTTAATAAAAAAGTAATATATGAGGCGCTTTAAGTTCTACACGCTTTTTAAAATATATTTTCTTTTATTTATTTAAATTCTTTTTTCAATGTATTTTTAAGAACAGTTAAAATGTGGAGTAGCGTATTATCATGCTCTAAACAGTTCATGGTGAATCAGCTAAAAATTCACCTGTTTAATTATCATAACATGATTCCATTTTAAATGTATTGTTAAAACAGATAACAATTACTGTTAAATTGTGCAGCAGCATTTTGTTATACTCTAAAGAATTCATAGTAAATCAGCTAGTAATTCGCTTTTTTAATTATCATAACATCATAATATCGATTCGATTATTATTCGATTAATAATTCCATAAAAAAGAGAATAATCTTGGAGGTGCTTCTGCTCGCTTTTTAAAATGTATTTTTCCTTCTGTGAGAGGCGATAGACACGGTATTATACGGGGTATTGAATTTTGAATTCTCTTACGCCGCTACTACACAGCGATTATAATATTATATTATAATGTAATCTCTTGTAAACATGTATAAATTTTATAATTCTTATTAACTTTGTTTTGTAATATTAACTATTACATGTTATATTTCAGTGCTATGAAGATAATGCTAGGCAAGTTACCGAGACCTTGGATAGTGGATGATGCAAAGGACGATGGCTATACTGCGCTACATTTGGCTGCATTGAATAACCACGCGGAGGTAGCTGAGCTGCTGGTGCGAGGAGGTGCGCGACCCGATCTGCAGAATGCGAATCTGCAAACTGCGCTACACCTTGCCGTTGAGCGCCAACACACACAGATCGTTCGCTTACTCATAGCGCACGGTGCTGACTTGAATATCTGCGATAAGGTAACCATTATGCTAATATTTAGATTTCTTGAATAAAAACTGACTTCAGCCACAGAATAAATAATAGTACTACGTACAGAAGTTGCACTCCTTTAATGTTGACTGCATGCCGACGTTTAGTAGCCTACATTATTATTATTAATTAGATAAATCGCACACGCAAACTAAATAAAACTATCGCTGCGCGCGAGTGTCCGTATTACTGTGCATCTTTACGTTACCGCGGACTTTTCGTGGTTACTAAGGGATGTCAATAAAGAGTAAAAAAATACTTGCGAAATGTTTATTAGGTTTCGATTTTAAACCTCAAATACGATTCCTAACAGAAATGTAATCGCATTTTACTTAGATAAAAATCTTGTTACTAAACAATGTTTTAATTTCAGTATTTTTTGTTATTATAACTTAAAACATTTTAATTACAAAAGAAAAGTATAGGTATGTAAGTAGATGCTTGGGTAGTGAAGTAAATTTCAAACAAGTTTTGTAATAAAGTACGTAGGTATTACTTCTGTAGATAAATTATTACTTAATTCTTTTTTGCTATAAGTACCTAAAATGAAATAAATTCGCCTTCCATAACTTCCTACTAAAATCCTTCGGTAATTTGAAGAATGACATATATGAAACCTTTTGTTGGTCATTTAGCATCTATCCACACAATATTTATAGTAGGAACGACTTTTTGCCATTACATTAGATCAAATAGGTAATAAACATAATGCCTTAGCAAAACTGTGAATATTTAATGAAAAGACCAAAATAATGGAGTTTCGTCAATATCAGAGATCGGAAGTCCCACTCGCTATATCTTACCAAGGTATAAATATTGAGGAAGTTCGTACATTTTCACTCCTCGGGATAACAATAGACTCAACTTTTTCATGGAAAAGTCATATAGAAATAGTTGTGAGTAAGTTGAGCAGTTTTTGCTATGCCCTGCGTGAGCTACGTAAGGATACTAATGAGCAGTGCGCACTTACTGCGTACCACAGCTATGCAGCTGCATGAATAAAATACGGTATCATATTGTGGGGAAACTCCACCGAGGTATATGCGGTATCCATGCTAAACCATGCAAAAACGTTGTTTTGGAATCATCACATTCGTAGGTCCAAGAGATTCATGTCGAAGGTTGTTCCCTAGATATAATTTACTAACTGTAACGTGAATGTACATTTTTGAATTATGCCAATTTGTTAGGAAAAATCCTCATTATTTCCAGCGATTTGAAGATGACCCAGTCGCTACGGCACAAGCCGAGGTTATAATCAGGTTGCTCCTGCCATACATCTCACATTATATAAAAATGGTCCCTACTAAATGGCTATAAGGGTTTACAACCATTTACCTAATACAATAAAAACCCTTCAGTGTCGTAAATTTGAAATAGTACTCAAGAAAATGCTTATTGTAAAAACATATTACAGTTTGAATTAATATTTTAATGATAAATTATAAATTAATTTTAATTATTTGACAATTTTCCTTTATTTCTATTTACATATTTGACATTTTTAGTATTTTCATCAAAATTTTAAACTTTATTTACATAATATAAATGACTAATGATCAGTTGACATATAATGTTTATTGAAATTTAAATTTTAAAATAAATGTGTGAGTATTATTTAGTCTGACATTTTATAATACAATTTATATATTGTGTACTATAAATACTACTATAAATGCTGTTATTTGAATGAAATGTAAATGAATTCCATATTAATTAAAATTTAAACTCTGTTTTAATATGCTACGCCCGTACAGGGTGTACACAGGTTACACACATACAGGTTCTATAAATATATTGTTCCAACTTTATACTTTGTGACATGCAATAAAGAATTATGAATTATATAATTTTTAAATTAAATTAAAACTTTTTCAACAATTTTATCCTACAATCAAATATACTAAACACTAAACAAAAACAATTTCAACAAGTATTTGCAAAAAACGATTTACGTAAACAGCGTTAAAAACTTTAACATTCAATGAAATACAACGCGCTAGCCTCGACTGCGTACGAGTATGTTACCCTGGGTGCCTCCCGATTTTAGGTAATTATTTCACGCAGGTAGCAAGAGTGACAGAGGGCTGCTTCAACTATCATCGGTAAAAATACTTTTGATAAAAAAATGGGCAGGTATATAAAGCCAGTAGTTAGTTATAGTTCGCGGCCTTGGAGACCGCGAGCCCTGAGTCAGACGAAGCTGTAAGAGTCGCATAGACTAACAGCGTTAACATCCAGAAACTAGACATGTACGCCAGTATATTCTAAGTCAATGGTGTATACATTCAAAATTAATACCTTTAGTCAAATTGATAATATCCTCATTTTTTCAAGCCAGTTAATAAATAATAATTACTACAAAATACTGTGTAAAATAAAACCAAATCCCATTGATTATTTTTGCAGTTTGTAATTATACTCGTATAGTATTCAAAACTCAAGCTAATCACTATCGCTTATTTCATAAAATTCTAAAAATTAAAGCTATTGCGATAATACCAAAATCTGCCTTCAACAAAAAATAAAAATATCTGCGAATCTATGTTAGGGAGGTTATTTTATAGTGCAGAAATGGTTGTTACAATGCCCATTTTATTTAAATTGCTGCAAATGTAAAATTATTGTATTTATAAAAATTCAATCCCAACAGATCAAAATATATTATTTAGAACTTTTTTTTTACTTCCCAGTGGGAAGTTATTGTAATGGGTCCGATTTTGCAAATTGGAAATTTTAACATATCTCCACATTTCACGGTCCTTAGAGTGGAATAGTATGGTTTTTAAGATGTCCGTGTGTGCACATGTACGTATGTATGTATGTATGTATGTTCTGATTCAATTTTTGCCGCTTGTATCTCGAGAACAGAGTGATATTGACATGGGACCAGTTTCATTTAACGCATAATTATGTAACATAGACCTCATTAAATTATGAGCAAAATCGGTCAAGTCGTTTTATGCCCAGTGAAAAATTGTATAAAATATTAAAACATATGATATTTTTTTTTATTCTTTCAACTTGGAAGTTAGTCGTGTGGACCTTTGGGATCGCACCTAGACTGCTATTTATTTCTCGGGTCCAACTTGACATAAAAATTTCATAATATTATATCAAAAATTATTTATGCCGTATAATTCATCCAGTTCTTATCATTGACTTATATATTACTAGCGTAATTGGTTCTTACGTACTAATATTTTAGAAATCTTTTTAAATTTGTTAGTTTTAAAATGTATCAGCATCATAATAATCTGTTAAAATCTTTCTTTTCTCCATTCCACATACATTAAAATCATTTAATCGTACCACATGTACCACCTTAATACCATCATCATGTCACCATCATATCACATATCATCCTAAATGATAGAGCCACGCTATAGCTACATTACGGTTGTAGCACGAATAGTTTGGCTCGACTGGAAAACATCACGCTCTCACAGAATACCAGCGTAAAATAGCAACTCAATGCTGCTGTGTTTCGTATGATGAGTGAAAGAACCGGGGACTCTTTTGTAGTGGAAAGGAGGCATTACATCATAGGCGTCAGGACCACAGTCTTCACTAACCATCAGATGTACTGTGTGCTGGTTTGTCACCCTAAAGAGGAACTAAATTATAAATAAAAGAGATCAGCCGGAGACGCATATCAGCAGTAAGACTTATGTCATAGTCAACGGCGAATGCCTAGTGCCTACCGAAATACTGTTAAACGATGAGAAAGTCCCTTAGTATGGATACATAAAAGTAAGATCTATGAAACAAAAGCAGTAATATAGAAGGCAACCAACTAAGACGAAAAAGCATTATAATGATTAATAACCGAGCTGGGGCTTGAAGTATCATATAGGTACAAAAGACAGATGTAAGTAAAGTCTATGAAATAATGCAAATGTGTGGAAGTTCTCAAATGTGTAAAAGCATTATATTAATAGTTGTGGCACTTGTTAAGCATATTAATTATAGTCGCTTAGACATCCTTACCGGGACCGAGACTGCGGTAAAGTGGACTAATATTGGAGTCCACTTTGACTTTGATGACGGGGCTATAGACTGTATGGCTTCCCTTATGTTTTATATAACAATCGGATAAAATATAAATGTCTCTGTTAATTTTCGGCTTTTGAACGAATAAACGAAACTTGTTGATTTTACCCATCAACAAGCTGCGTTTATAAACAAGATTTGAAAAAACGCTCTACGTATTTATCTTTTGAATTATAATCATATGTTTTTGGCTTTGGCTAAATCTACGGCTGTATTGGTTAGTGGAGCATTATGCGTCGACCTCATGTGGACGTGAGCGTTGTTAGAAGGAATTGACTTATGTGAACCTAAAACAAGTGAAAAACTCACGAATTACAAAGTTTTTTTTTACCTTTTCTTGGCCCTTTCCTTATTAACGGGGCTATTTAATAAATAAAATATATATACAAAAGGATATCCTGAATAACTGACTTATCTATCAACCCACAGCCCAAACCGCTAAATACATAAATTTAAAATTTAGATAGTATAGCTTTTTTTAATATTGTTTTATCCACTAGAAAAGGATTTTTGTAAAATTCAACCCCTAAGAGGTATTGTATAGTTGTAGCACGAATGGGTCCGCTCGACCGGGGAAGGACCACACTCTCACAGAATACCAGCACAGAATACGCAAAGAAAAAGCCTAGCAAATCAGCTTTCTTCTTTGCGGCATAGGCCAGTGAGTCGTCCTCTCTGTGCAGAGATGGAAGAGATGGCTGACAGAAATTTCCTTGGCGAGAGACCAGAATATACGGGCTTCAGAAGGAAGGCGAACAAGTTTCTTTGCTCTAACTTTGCCTTGGCAATGACTCTTTTGAAGAACCTGCAGGCGGAGTTAAACTTTCATTTTCGGGCGCTGGTGCTTACATTCCGGAACATTGATGTGTCAGCCCACGCTTTGTAGGCGATTGAATGATTGAAGTTGAATATTGAAATGTTAAAAAAATGTAAA